TTAATAAGGGATTAAATAAATAACATTGGGAATAACTAACCTTCAGTAAATACCCCCTTTTTCCCTTTCCCCAACCATTCACTCCCACTGAGTCTCACTCTCACCAGAACAATTAGTCCTTTTTATTTGACTCCCTCAATTTTATGTTGTTTTGAGCTGTTGCAGCTCTGTTTAGGTTCATGAATCACTGTTTTGTGGGAAGTGTGAAGCTTCCAGTATAACAATAAAATGAAATGAAACTCAGAGGAATGTATATTAAAGTCAATGTCATACACTTTCTCTTTGAGAGACATTGTTGTTATGTGCATTGGTCTTATGCAGTAAACCCCACTGAGCTGATATTCTCTGCAAGTTGAATTCTCTCCACTGTTCTAGCTGGTGTAGACTTCTCCTGTCATCTTCCCTTGCCCGAAGTTCGATCTTTGTCACTGCTTATCTGTTTACTGGCCGGCTGGCATGTCGTCTGGCTCCACTGTAACAACAGCAGCTAATGTCATCCTTCCAGGTAACATGACACTTGCTGTGCTGCATTCTCCGTCATGACAGACAGCATGTAAACACCCACGCACATACAAGCAGCAGTCTATATGAGCAGATACACAGTGTGTGGTTGACAGTTGCACACGCTCCAAACAGAAAATTTGGCATCACAGATTGAAGAACCTGTCCCCCTTTCTCAGAACTAATGCTTCCAAACCTGAGCCAGAACAACATGATGCAAAAAGAGCTATTTGGCCATCTGTGGACTTGATCTTCAGATAGAGAAATGTCAGTGAAAGCAAAGGAAAACATGCACTCCACAGGGGAGCAGTTGGTGAAATAAGGGCATCCTCAAGGAGACTTGGAAAACGTTCCTGTTCCTCTACAGTTACAGCGACTGCAGGAGGCTCAAACAAACGTTGTGTTGCAGATTTACTGCAGCAGCGTCCCGTCTGTAGAACACCTCATTCTGATGTCAGAACGTATAGCTTCATTTATAAATTGTCTCAGCTGTTATGCGTGTCCTTTACGTTTAGCCTGTGTTGTGATGTATGACCTGTGATGGTCTGCTCTGATCTCTGATGGTTGGAGTTGTAGGCCAGATGAGACCATCCATCAGAGGGGTTTGATCTTCATCCTGCTGGGTCGTTCCCTCCTCTTCATGCTGCGTGAAGCTGCACTGAGCCTCTACACCATCTGCCCCCTTCAGGCCTGGTTCACTCCTTCCACAGTCATTAAGCATTGCTTAAAGAGGAAAATAATTACCTAAATGAAAAGTCTTCTGTAGCTTTTTTGCTTGCTTGGTTCTAAAAACTTTATAGCTTTCCCACTATGGCAAACAGTGTTTTTTTTTTTATGTCTTTCTTCCCAGGAAACGCACCTACTGATGGATATGAGTAATCTTAGCTATGGCTTAGGAAAATTAGGGCTGCAACTAACGATTGTTTTCATTTTTGATTAATCTTTTGGTCTATAAAATGACACTGAATGTTGGGCATTTTTGGCAGCTCCACTATGTTCCCCAGCTTTGTCTGGCTGCCACTTGGTGCTGGACAGGTAGCGTACAGTGGGTTTATCAAAGCTTTCCACTGAAAACAACTGCCGCTGGAAGCAAGGCTGATGAGAGCCATGAGACTGAACCAAAGCTGTAAAATGTCCATAAAACCAAAACAATGAGCTGAAAAAGGCTGAAAAGCTCAGTAAAGCTGAGGGGGAATTTGATTATAATTCTCTGTGGGATCAGTGACTCGTTTCACATCACATATTATTTGATCCATTGTTGATATTAAAATATTGAATAGAGCAGCTTTAAACATATTTGCTGAAACTACAATCTGAAGTGGAAATGATCAAGCAAAGAACAGGAACAACAATGATCACTGCCTCTGCTATGTTAGGTAGAGAGAAAGCTGCTGAGGTGTGCAGAATGAGTCTCTCTTTGATGGATTCTCTGCATTCATAAAACAGCAAACGCCCTTGTCCATACAGTGCATTTCCTATTCCCTATACAGCCCCTATACATGATGGATGCACAAGGTGTCTACATCCAGAAGCTTCGGGACTGTAATAGAAAACCATGTAAAGCAATGTGACTTCATGCTTGTTATGTAAAATGCTGAAGTGAAGGCTTCAAATGAGACGTTTTGCACAATAGTTCAGCAACCGACCACAGTGAAGCTATGACACGGTTTAAAAGTGCACCGTGGTCAAATTGGAAACGTGTCCTTTTTGCCCTTATTCTCAAACATCTGAATTTTTAAAGATACCTGAGTCTTCCTTACACTACACTCCCTCTGGGCACTTTGTCCTTCTCCTCCTCCCTGCACCTCTTTGTTCTCTGCAGTCTGTGACCTAGGAAAGAACTCATCCATCTTGAGAGTTTGATCCTGTCCCGCTGTGCCCGGCCTGTCACTACATGCCTGGGGGAGGTGGGAGTGGGGGGGTGTTGACTGTCCTGGACTGTGGGACCATGAGACCGCTCTAAGCCCAGAGCCATCTGGTTACGCTACATTTCCCAAAAGCATACAGTTTGAGTTGCACTTTGTCTTTCCCTCTGGTGCCCGTTTGTGTTGTGCTTTCATTGTTAACCCTTTCACCCCCACACTAACACTGGCATTTATTGTAATAATATAAGCTGCATAGTTCTGCACCTTCTTTTCTACATTATGTCTCCCTGGCTCCTCTCCTGCTTTCTCCCTCTTCATTTGGGAGCTCCAACTTATGCTTGCGAGGCTACAGAACATCACTGGATCGGAAGACCATCTGGTTGTCAAATTCCCAAAACACAAGTAGTTTTTTTTCCTCTGTTTGTCCTCCCTTCTGTCACCAGAGCATCTCCTCTCCTCCTCCCTGTGCTCTAGCATCCACTTTTTGTTGAAAAGGTTGAAAGGTCCATTTTAGAAGAGGTTCCTACTAGAAATGAGCAGTAAAATGTTTTTATTAGTTTTTATGACAAGATAAGAGATCAATTTCTTTCACGTTCTCCAGCTGAAGAGCTTTTAGAGTGGCTCTGCTGCTTACCTGGGCCCATTAATATAAGACCATCTGTCTGCTTCGGGCCTGGATTCCCAAATATAAAATGAGTTTGATCTCTCTTTCTATCTCTCTCCGGCGCTCAGTTTTTCCTTTTATTAGTGGTGATTCTGCCTCCATTAAAGGAGGAAAATGGATGGCCATATGTCTACTTTAATAACTAAAGTGTTGGTAAAATAAAAAGTTCCCACGAACTGTAGCTATTGGTGGAAACATGAGTAAGAGATGGATGAGGTCCATTTTCCAAGTTGCCCTTATAGGGATTAAGGTGAATTGATGTTAGACTGATTTTTCAAACGATACACATGTACAAGGTTATACAATGGGATGAACTGTTTTTGGAAAGAAGTCATTAATACAACTGAAGGCAATTTGGAAGCAAATCAGGTTTAATTTTTCACTAAAGCTGTATTACATCGGCCACAGTTGAGGAAGCAGCAAAGTGCTGTGGTCAACTGTTAAACATGTGAGCTCTGTTTAGGTTGCGTTCGATTACAGTGTGACAGACAATAAAGTTTTACAAGCTATCAAACAATTGCGCTGTGATTTATAAGTGTTTATAGCTGTGTTGGGCAGGTTGTCAGAGCTGCTCCTGAGATAAAAGTTGCAGCCTTTTGAGAGACTGCTAATATCGTGTTTTGGAACTTTTGGAATGTGTGGAGGAAAGACTATTATAATAAATAATTAACAAATTGTGCACGGAAATATGTGACAACCAAGGACATGAACACCAATTGAAATAACGAAAACTTAAGGTGTGTTCATGACCCCATAGCTCACTGTAAGAAGCTGATTTCATGCCCTTAAAGATCTGACAGTCTATTGTTTATAAAAGAATAAAGAGGCTCAGTGTCTGTGTCTAAAATTGGTTTGCTTATGAACTGAAGTTTGGAACACTCAACGGGGATGAAAAGTGAACATTACTGTCTTTCACAGCATGACGACACACTATCATTAATAAATGGAGCAGGACAAGAGGACAGGCCAGTACAGCTTCACAGTGCAGGTGGACTATTTTAACCCATCTCATCTATCATTAAAACACGGTATGGACAGACATGTGGGATGATCACCTGCTGGATGGATGGACAGAATACTATGGAATACGATGAAAAATTCACAGGCAAAGTCTTGTGTCTTTGGCTTTGGCTGAACAAAAGCAAACTGTACAGCTGCGGCTACGACATATTACCATCAGATACACAGACAGGCTCCAGTCTGACTTGTAGTCAGCTTATTATTAATGGATGTACAGGCCGGGAAAGGAGATGAGTACAGTAAAGGCACCAACAGGTGCAGCACACAGTTTGTCCTTGTCCATCTCATCTATAAACCATAAAGAGCCTCCCATTATCTACTGTATCCATTTTAATATTTTACAATCTATGATGAAGTGCTCCTCGGTACTGCTGACTATCAGTGGTCTTACCCTGAGATGATGTGTGCATTGCATCTGTGTGTGATGATGCGTTAGCCAGAGGGGATTAAATCCTTGAAGCAATACGCACCTTAATTAACCCCCACTCATTAATTTCCCTTTCATGTGTCCAGCAGCAAGCACAGTCCGGCTCGGCCTCAATCTTTCTCATAATTTATTTGGTGCATAGGTCGTAATCTTTTCAAACTATATTCATTTTCCCAGGACGACTTGCAGACAGTTGCTATAACACAGCTCTGTGTGATAGCTGCTGTGGGGATTGCTTTACAGAAAGGATTTATATACAGAGGTATACAAGCATGGTTTTATCCTTTTGTGATTTAGGTCTGATATTCCTGGTTGAGCTTGCTCAAACTCAAAGGGTTCACATGAGGGTTCAGATCAGATTTTAGGTAAAAAGAAATCTAAATCCAGGTGTAAATCACAGTAGCAACCTGCTGGGCTCGGATCCGATTTTTTTTGTTTTCTTTTTCAAAGTCAGTGTCAAACTTGCTCTAAGACATGTATTTATTTCAAAACACACAGCCAGTAACAACACAAGACCACATGCTGAAATATAAATAGTTTATATTTGAGAAAATAACATGATACATATTTCACATACATACAATTTCCATGAAACTATTTGGACAGTAACATTTTGGAGTATGGAGTATAATGTCACTAGTGTATATTATCACTTATCACTTCTGGTAGCCATCATAGTGTTGAGATTATGACTAATAATGAGCAGTTTGTTCAGGTAAAATACTTTAAAGGCAACTATTACTTTTGGTTTCGCAGAACGAGGGTAAATACATTACCTGAGGAAACATCAGTGAACATTAAAACAGTAACTCAAATTCATGGGAATCCTTTTAAAGGACCAGTGTGTGAGATTTGGTGGCATCTAGTGGTGAAGTTTCAAACGGCAACTAACTGAACACCTGTGAACATCTGTATTTAACCACCCGAGAATGAGAACGAGCTGTGAAGTGTGTAGGACAATCTTTGGTTTGTCCATTCTGGGCTACTGTAGAAACATGGCAGTTCAACATGGAGTCGTCTGTAGATAAAAACTATGGTAATAAAAACTATTCTTATTTCCAGGTGATTACACACTAATGAAGTTAGTTATAGTATTATATTCTGTTCCTGAAAATAGATCCACCTAACTGTAACACACTGGACCTTTAAGGCTTCTCTTTCTTGTTGCAACTGATAATTAATGAATGGTTTCATGATACACATATATACCTCAAAAGTAATGTCATTTCCCTCCACAGAAATGACAAACCATCTATTTCTTATCAGTGCTGTAGTGGTAAGGCAACAGTACGTTTACCATAATGTGAACCTGGTTGAGGTATTATTATCACAACCAGGCAGTTTGTTTGCTAATCTGTCCTACTGCCCTTCAGCAGAAAAGGCTACAGGGAGCCCAAATGTTAAATTAAATCCAGCAAAGGTGTAGTTCTGAGCCTCTGCTGAGAGAAACAATATAAAGATACACATCTGGTGATAAGAGCATATAGAATACAAAAATAATGCAATTGCAATCCAGCTGTGGTGTGCAGGGTGCAGACGATAAGCCACATTCGTCTTACAATATGGTAACAGATGTAATGTAAGATAACTGGAAGTGAAGAATGCATGTATACCCAACATTGCATACCCACAATAGAAGGTCACAGAACAACAAAGCTGACAGCCTGCAGTATTAGCTGGACATCAGAAACGTTTGTCAGCAACCCTCGATAAATGTCATTGTGACCAATCCCAAAAATATTTGGCGTGTATTACAGCACCAGCAGAGACGCTTTAACGGATGCATAGACTCATACATGATGTGGCAAAGTGAGGCGCATCCATCAACACATAATGCCGAGATATTCCAACATTCGTTTGTTGTTTTCATATGTACACATACACATATACATGACATAAACTGACACAGAAAACAGAAGGAAGTGCTTCTCCTTTGGCCTGTGACCTTATAATGCCTGTAAAGACTGATAATATAATATATTTCTGAAGGATACATGAGAGGACTGATACCACTCTCATGTTTGTACAGTGAATATGAAGCTCCAGCCAGCAGGCCGTTAGCTTAGCTTAGCATAAAGACTGGAAACGGGGGAAGCAGCCAGCTTGCACTGCAGTGTGTAGTTTAAACGAGATGTTTACTGGAGAGAAACTAAAGACAGACAGGTATTGATTAAGAGACGGACACAAATTGGCTGCTAAGTAAAAAGGTGACTGAAAGACTTCGTAAGCAGGTACAGTGGCTGTATTACTTAATTAAATCATGGCTAAGGAGAGGAAAAAAGAAACCTGTGCGGACTACTGATCAGCTGCTGCTGCTGTGTTTTAGCCTGCAGTGCTTTGGTAAGACGGAACTATCAAGAAACGGGTGAAACTACTTTCCATGAGACTATATTGGTAGATTAGTGTTTCGATTATAAACAGAACTTCTTAATAAAATATTTGTTCATTTTGGAAGGCTGGAATGGATAAATAAGGTTTTAATGTTTCTGTAATGGCATGCATTACATAAACTGTCCTCTGTTTAATGGGGCATTTTGGGGTGAATGAAGACATTTCAAAGTTTGTTTACTACTTTAGATGGCCTGTCTAGGAATGACTAAACATGCAATGAAAGGGAAACTAAATATTCTAATCTAAAGGCACCGTCTGAGAATTGATTTGGGGAAAAGGGGAGGGTACTTTTTCTTTTGGCTAATTGGAGGAGTAGTTTCTTCTCTTGACTGGAATATTTAATATTTTGTGCCATAAATTTGGCACTTCCACTTCAAATGTGTGTGTGTGGGAGGCTAAAGCATAGTTACATAAATATATTAAGGTTTAAATTGCGGTACACACTTTAACAAGTTGCACCAAATCAATATCGTTCAATATTATTTTTCAGATATTGGGATATTGTTACAGATGTCTTTTAATTCAAGGAGAAAGAAAATATTAATAATGTGGAACATAAGATTTAGAGCCCTCTGGATGGCAATAACTTTTATAAAGTCCCTAAAAGTAAGTTAAAGTTTTTTTTAGCACTTTTTTTTAATTTAACCTTTATTTAACCAGGAAGTCCCTTGAGATTTAAATCTCTTCTGTAAAACTAAACCAAGTCTCACTTGGTTGACTTTTCATTCATACGTTTTCTACACATTCAAGTCTTTTCCTGTTTAGTTGAGTGTTAACACTAAATGTGTTCAATAACTGAAGGTAAAATACAGCCTACTGTAATATTCCTGCTCAGCATGTTGATTTAACCATCGCTTATCGACCATGCTTATGACTGGTTCTTTGAGACCATTTGGAAGAGCAAAAAGACGTCAAAGAATCAGCAGACGATGGGACACTAGAGAACGCCACAAATATTCCATAACACTGTTAATTAGTTACATAGTTTGACCTTAAGTCTGACGTGTTCTTTGGTGTATACAAAAGATTCTGTGACTGAGGTACAGTGCAAAGCATTGCAGCATGGCCACATTTCTTCATGGTTTTCACACACCCCGTGGAAGACTTGCATTTCAATTAAACCACAAAGTAGAGTCATAACACACAGATTGATGTTCTTAGTAGTTACCATTACTTGGTGTACATTCTGTGGCCTTGGCTTGGCGCTGGCTGCCAACGGCAAAAATCAATTTCAGCTGCACAGACACACCAGCAAGCGTGTCACTCTCACACACACACACACACACACACACACACACACACACACACACACTCTCTCTCTGTGTATCATGAGAACAGTCCAGTGACGTGTGGAGTGTGAAGAGGGAGACTCATCAGTCAGGCAGTAGATTCCAGTGCAGGGCTACCAGTGTAGGACTGGCTGTTACAGCTGCCATTACAGCAGCACACACCTTCTGTTAGTGAGCTGCCAACGTGAGTAATGTTTCCCTCTTACAGTTTCTATGTCCACTACGCTTCAGGATCCAAGTTACGTTCAACACAGAACAAATAAATAGTATAAAATGCACCAAACTACTTCTTTATCTCACTAACAATTTAAAGTAAAATGTGTTTTGTTATTTGTAATTTGTTCAAGGTTATAAATGTTTGCTTAATTGCACTTTTAAAATGTTTGGCTCTGCATGATACCCACGATACTTTGGCTGAAGGCTGAACACAAAAAAAAAAAAAAAAGATTAGACTCATTGAAATTCACACAGAAGCCCTGATTTTTACGTCACGTTCAACCTAGCTTGACCCGTGTGTCTTGGCTGTAGAAAAGGACCTGCAGCAGGATGGCCACGTCGATTAGGATCTGGACCAAACCGCAAACCCAGAACTGAGCCGGGCTTTCGTTCATCACGAAGTAGGTGGTCTTGAAGATGTCACCGGCTGTCCACAGCAGCACCATCTTCACACTAGAGCAAAGAGAGACACAGAGAGACACGGTGAGAATTAAGGAGTTTTCTCTTTCAAGAATATTTTGACATTTGGGAAATACACTTAGCATAATGACTGGAAACAGCAACAGCTTGACTCTGTCCAAAAGCAAGAGGGTTAGGAGCTATTTCTTAGCCTGGACCAGCGTCCAAGCGACCAGCTGAGATGGAGCCAGGCTATCCAGTTTCCCCCTGTTTCAAGTCTATGCTATACTAAGCTAATAGTCTACTGGCTTCAGCTAAATACTTCTCAGGAAAGAGGCAAATTAATTAGTAAATTTTGCAAAATGTCAAACTATTCTTTTACATATTTTATCTTTTTTACAAAGAACACATAGTAAAAAAACTGGAGTAAAAGAAAAATATCAGCAGTCTGCTCCCTTTCCGCCTTACAATTGCAAACCTTTAACTGGTTTTGAAAGTGTTCTGGTCTTGATTTTGTTCCTGCTGTATAAGAAACAGCAGGGAGACAGTTAAAAAGTCAATGAAGAGGGTGAAGTAAACTACCAATTGATCACACCAATTAAGAGACGGTGATGAAAAGAGACATTGAGGCTGAGAAGAAAGACCTTGAAGAAGATACGAGTCTTACCATGCCAATCCACCCCTCACCCCCATACTTTTACGTTTACGGCCCCTGCCATCACTCCTACTCCAGCGACTCTCTGCTCCCTCTTCTATCCCCTATCTGGACAGTGTCCCATAGGTATGAATGTAATATGAGTTTATTATTTTTATTGGGGATCAGTGGGCCTGGGGACGGAGCAGGACCATCAGTCATCAATGAGACATACTGTAAGGGTCAGAGTGGTGAGGGAGAAAGGAAAGGAGAGAGACAGAGACAGAGAGCCTGCAGAGGACAGCATTTATCTAGCATACAGTAAGAGAGACAGGGCTAAGACAACAAAACCACCAGAGAGAAAGAGAGGGACCTCTGTGAATGGGGAGAAGACCTCTGTGAGAAAGATATGGATGATGAGTGCATATGGGGGTAGAGGCAGCCTAATGACTATAGGGAAAGATGTCCTGTACTATCCTTGAGCTCCCCTTGCAGAGTCATGTCAAACTCCTAACTCTCCCCTGGGCTCTCACCAGGCCCTGATGAGGAACCGAAACAATCCTGTCCTGGCATGGAAATAAGGACATTCTTATTCAGCCTACCTGGGAATGTACTAAATCTAGACACTGCATTGCAGTATTGAAATGTGATTAATAACCCAAAATGATGCAGGCTGCCAACATGGGCTGTGCTGGAGAGCTACAGGATGTGTAATGATGGAAGTTAAACTCACAGCTGTTACTATACAGTGCAGTCAGGCTGCACATCTGGACACTTTTATATGCAATCATATGTGGATTCATTACCTGTAATCCAATAGACTGATCATCACCGTAGGGGAAGTTGTTCAATATATTCAAGTTGTATTTTTTTGATTGGTCCAATATCTGTAAGGTGGGACATCATCAGATGTTAGTTGTGATTTGAGCACTTCATACATTATTCTGTGGCTCCGTACACTATTACTCCATGGTGCGATTCCACGGGGTAAGAGTATCTGATCACAGGACGCATTTGCTGTCACTGCAACTGGACCTAAGAAAGAAAGACAGCTTAAGCCAGGTACTACACCCACTTAGTATAATGTGGGACAAAAACAACAGTGTGTGTGCAGATGCTGCCAATGACTCAGCAGGTGTTGAAATAAAACGAATAACGTGACATTAAGTGGGAATCAGTGCTAATGCTAGCAAGCTAGGCCATAAGCTGCATAAACTGAGTGGACTGTCAGATGTCAGTCAGCCGTTTGCTTTTGAGAAATGAAGAAATGTACGCAACAGCTACACTTTTAAAAGAAGAAACGACATTCTTCCTCTTTTGCTGCTTACTTGGTGCCAAAGTGTTTTCCCCTCGATGGCCTACTCTGCCTCTGATTGGCTAGTACTTGTTGCCTTCGTTGGTTGGGTGAGTGAGCGCCAGGAGCTTATTGAGGCTTATCTACTTGGGCTGGCGTGACACTTTATTTTATTATTTACCCATATCCTGTAATTGTCTCTTGTGCCTATAGTGGCCCATGTTCAGAAAAATATTGCATACTCTTGTTTTTAATCGATTTATTTCAATCCAAAGCCAGAATAGACATAACCTGAATGTGAGATGGAAAGAAAAATCTGCTTCAGACAACATAGCTCCCTATCTCTTCACTCTTTGGTCCAACTGCTCTTCCCACCTTCAATTTAACCATCTCAGGCTTTAGTATGAATCAGGCTATTTCCACCTCTCCCAAAGGCTGGCCAAGGAGTGCTTGTTAAGAGCAAACCGGAGTCTCAATGATGTGTTCTGCTCCCCTAACAATTCAAACTTTTGGGGTAAACACTCCAGGGTTTTATTGAACTGCTCCAAAAATAAGTGTGTTAAAGAATTTTAAATCGTCGTGCTTTTCCTTCTTTCTCTCTAAGCTGCCAGTATTCCTCAAGGAAAATACTTGCTTTTTAGTCCAATGAAGTTTTTTTTTCCTCAGAGAGTATCCTTCGCTGAACTTCAGAATTCTTGTTTCATCTCTCGCCTTATCTTTTCCTTTCACTGCGTCACTTTCTTCTTTTCTCTGTTGTCCCGCTCAACTGTCATCTTTACTTTTATGGCCTCTATCTTTGCCTTTACTTTGCGTCTCGCTTCTCTATAAAAGGGAATAAAGTTAGTGACTTTTATCAGCTCCTACCAGGAGTCAAATAATTGTTGCATTTTACAGCACAGTAAGCTAGCTTGTTGAAACAAATCCTCCACAAAACAAATGCTGAAGAGCATTTAAGATAAATAAATAAAAATAATAGTGTCGTTTTTTTTATTCAAAATTCAAGCTACCATTTAAACATGTCCAATTTTTACACATTGGACATGTGTTGTTGTCAAAAATCTTTGCAGAGCACAGCCTCTGTCCCTGTTGGAAATATTGGCTTTTCTCTGCGTGATGTCGGACTTGTGCTTTTGGTGTGAAAGCACTGATAGTTCGAACATGATTTCTTGAAAGAGTGACACCCCTGATACTTGTTGGTCGTTTTCTTACTGAACTTTTTCAACAAAACAACTCTTGTAACAAATATTGAGTGAATGTAGCCATATGCCGTCTGTTATAGGGCTATGGGACAGAAATTGAAAAAAGATAGGCAGAAATTGTAGCACACAGCTACCCTATAAAGCACATTAATCATATTTTCATACTTGGGGTCAGTTTTCACCATATAACCATATCAATCTCAGTAGTAGTAGAAGAAGTAGATTAGTGTATACATGCACACAAAGCTGGTTTGAGTTGCAAATCAGTGAATAATGATGAAGAGGAGGAAGAAAAAGCAGAAAAATAGAACTCTACAAAGAGAAAATCCCCTTTGCTGGTCAAAATGTCAAAGCTACAAAATCCCTTTAAATTCGCACTTGACTTATTTTTTAACATTATCTCCTCTGTCCTTCTCCGCAGCCCTGACCTTCACTTATTGCTCATCGTCCTCTCAGCCTCTGTCTGTCTCTGCTATCCTCTCTGCCTAATCTTCCCTCCCTTACTTCGCCCTCCCTCCCTCACCCTCTCAAATTCTCCGCTCCAACCTTTGGCTAATTTCTTTGCTCAAGAGACGGCAAACATCATTAACGAGGATGAGTCATTAACAGTGTAATTAAGGAGGGCGGGTCATCTGTACAAAAGCAGTCTCTACAGCAGTGCAGCGGAATGGAGACAAAAACATCGGTTTGAGGTCGTTCATCTCTGGCAGGCACACGCGCGTGCGCACACACACACACACACACACACACACACACGTAGCTCTATCTGGCAGTGATACCGTTAATCAGGGGACTGGTGGCTCAGTTGACAGGTGATGAAAGACACATAGAACAAACAATTGAACTTGGTCCTCGGTGGGGCTTTGAGTGTCCACAGGGAGAAGGAGTTATTACGGTATTGATTGAGAATATTGACTGACTGACTACCAGCCAAACACACAGCCACACACACACACACACACACACACACACACACACACACACTACCCAGCATGTGTGCAATCTTGCTTTTTTTGCACAAAAACACACAGAAATACAGAGAAACACCATAAGATTGCTCGACTGCTTCATGTTCTCACCAAAGCATGCACACACACACACACACACACACACACACACACACACACACACACTGACGCACACGCATGCACTTACGGTGACTCAGTGCAGGCTCTCATTGATTACTACTGACCTGCCACCTTCATCTGAGCCAAGTGGCAAGAGGTGAGAGAGAGGAAAGGGTGATATGGTGAACTGCGTACTTCGGGGACTGAAAGGAAAAGGCGAGAGCTAGGAGATAGATGAAGGGGGGTGGAGGTAAAAGGAAAATGATGAGAGACCGATGACAATGTCCCTGGGCAGGGGGGATGATAAATCTAGAGAGGGGTGAGAAACGAAGCCACCCTGATAGTTGTTGGAGAATGACAGGACAGGAGAGAGTGGTGGAGAAAGTGAGAGGGGGGTCTGATTGCACGGTGTGATGGCTGTGCCGTATGTGGGCCAGGCAGTAATTGTGCGATGTATTGAATGAGTGCTGTCAGGCTGGCTATTAGCTACTCTCAGTGGCTGGAGTGGACGAGTGGAACACTACTACAGGAAACAGGGCTGAGTGACATTTAGAAAGAGAGAGGGAGACATGTGAGAGGCAGAGAAAGAGAGAGAGAGAGAGAGAGAGAGAGAGAGAGAGAGAGAGAGAGGTGGTGTGTGTGCAATTTTGTGATTTCACGTCCCAAATATTTGCAAAGTTGCGTGATGCATCTTTAAAAAGAGCATCTTATAGCAGGTCTAGAACTATACTATAAACTATAACAACAAACCCTCTTGTAAACCTTTGCTTTATCCCTTCAATAACTTCAATTACACAAGCCGTGCATTACATTATATCATGACAGACACTTGTTTTTCCTCAGATAATGTTCAAGGACGA